CAGGCGGGCAGATCATCTGAGATCAGAAGTTTGAGACCAGCCTGGCTAACCTGGTGAAACCCTGTCTCTACTAAAAATATAAAAATTAGCTGGGCGTGGTGGCGGGCACCTGTAATCCCAGCTACTCGGGAGGCTGAGGCAGGAGAATTGCTTGTACCCAGGAGACAGAGGTTGCAGTGAGCCAATGCAGTGCCGTTGCCCTCCACCCTGGGCAACAGAGTAAGACTCTGGTCTCAAAAAAAAAAGTTTGTGATCAGTAAGTTATTTTATTTGGAATGCTTTGATTTACATACAACTTTTTCAGAAACTCATCACTTTTTAGATGTAGGATATAGTCACTGAAGGGAGTACCAGTATACATAAATGTATTAATTATGTAAAAATGGAACAAAAGAAGGTGGGGTCAAAGATAAAGACCATGATGTAAATTTTGTACCTTCTTGCACATTGTGGTATTTCATAGATGATAGAGCATTTTAAAGTGGCATGGTTGCAAAAATACATGTATCAGGAATTAATAAGCTAACAGGGAAATTTTAAGAATTTCATGCTTCAGTATGCTTGTCTTCAGAACGTATTTTAAGTCAGAATGAGCAAAGATAGTGGTCAAAGTTGGAAGAAGGTGTAATTTTACTGATTTTTTTTTCTTTTTGACTTACTTGAACCTTGACATCTGTGCTATGGGTGAGTTTAGATAGGCTTGTACAGATATTTCAGCCTGGGTTGCCTCACTCTAACTATATCTTGATTTCTTAGCATGACTTAGTGAAAGCTTCTTTTAAAAATCTTCAGGTTATAAAATAGTGAAAATTTAACACTTAGGTGGGGGGAATATTAACAGTTGTTTAGATTTATGTTTGAATTATTTATATTAAAATTGTTCACATTTTAGGAACTAGAATGAAACATGAAAGGGGAGGAGGGTGAAGAGTATGGTAAAAAAACATTTAGAGAAATTTAGTAAATTCTCTGTTAGAAACTAGACTTTTGAACAATTTTAAAGACTATAAAATTGTTTTTTTTAAAAAATAAACTAGTTATTTGCACTTTACCTGCTGGCTTTTCCATTTGGTAGATAACATTCTGAACTCCAGCAGAGTTTTATAATCCCCACGTGCTTAAATATACTAAATGTTCTTTTTCCATTAAGGTTAATGTTCGTGAAGAAATTGAAGAGTTTTTTCCAAGAATGTGGAAGATAAATCAAGATAAAAGAAGGCTAATGAAAAGTATTAAAGATCAGAAAATTAAAATTGAATGGGGGAAAAAATTGAACAGAAGATTGGTCAGATAGAAGCACTTGAATATTTTTTTTAAGGCTATTTTGAATTGTTTGAATTGGGGAAGAATACACGAAGTATGAAAAATGAAAAAATGAAGAATGAAGAGAAGTAGAAAGCAAGAGTGAAGTAGAATTAAAAGAATCTGGAAGAATGAATGGGTCCTAGGTTAAGTAAATGTATGGTTTATGTTCCAGTGTCTGTATGATCAAGTTGTAGATGAATTTGCATGATTACTTAGTTAATAGAGAATTGGTGATCTGGTTCAAGTAGGGAATTATTGAGGACAGTTAGCAGTATTAACAAGGGGTTATTATTGAGCTGAAATTTTTTCTGGAGGGTGTTGCCTAACCATTTGTTTTTCAGGAGCAATCAATATAAATAATTACGGTACTTTAAATGTTAGGTGTTAGGCATCTACATGACCAGTGCCATTTGTAATACTGTCTTCTTTGTTAGGAGTCTCGCTCTCAGTCAAAATCTCCAACGGGAACTCCTGCTCGTGTAAAATCGGAGAGCAGGTCAGGATCTCGTAGTCCATCAAGGGTTTCCAAACACTCTGAATCCCATTCTCGATCAAGATCAAAATCCAGGTAAGTGTGTTTAAGATAATACTTAAAATATTCTGGCCTGGCACGGTGGCTCATGCCTGTAACCCAGCACTTTGGGAGGCAGGCGAATCACCTGAGGTTGGGAGTTCAAGACCAGCCTGACCAACATGAAGAAACCCTATCTCTACTAACATACGTGTGTGTGTGTGTGTGTGTGTGTGTGTGTGTGTGTGTGTGTACACAGAATTAGCCGGGCATGGTGACCCATGCCTGTAATCCCAGTTTCTCGGGAGGCAGAGCCAAGAAAATCACTTGAACCCAGGAGGCGGAGGTTGTGGCAAGCCGAGATCGGGCCATTGCCCTCCAGCCTGGGCAACAAGAGTGAAACTCCATCTCAAAAAAAAAAAAAAAAAAAAATTCTTCTGTGACTTTTGAGGACAAAGCAGTTTTTGGCTGCATTTTGTGTAGAAATTTCACAAAAGACTCAAAATTATAAAGTAGTTTTTCTCAGACTGCACTTTATAAATGAATGCTATATCCCAGACAGAGACTTGGAAGTACAGCTGGAGCCCAGGAGTTCCAAGCAGCATTGATTGTCAGAGAGACCCTGTCTCTAAAAAATAAGAAATTAGTAATAAAATCGTCTCCCAGCCCAATTAATATATTGGATACTTGCAACCAATACCAATTATGTGTGTATATCTGTTGATTTAAATGTGTTTGTCATTTGAGAATTAATGTTTGGTTTTATGCCAACAATATTTTTTCGTTAGTTTGTCAACAATATTTATACAACAAAAAGGCAGTTTTCTGCATTGGAGACTCACATGTAATTTAATACAGAGAACATTGATATGTGTATGTTATGCTGGTTGGTTAGTACTATTGAGAAGCATTTTTGGCATTTACATTCCAGCTACATTTTTTTTTTTTTAAAGTGAATATACAATTTATTTAACATTCAAACTTCATTAAGACATGTGCAATATGGCAATTTTACTGGGGATTAAACCCTACCTAGGATGATTGCTTGCTGGGGTTTAGCAACAGGGTCCAGTTCACACTTAGCACTAATTAAATACTTTATTGAATAAATACAATACCAAACAAAATGGAGTCAGGTGCTTTCTAAAAAAATTTTAAAGGCTTTTCTACTCAGGCTAATGACAAACACAATAAAGGCAGATATGCTAGTTTAACATAATTGGCTGACTTTATACAGCACTTATATCTTTTAGTCCACAAGTTTATTATTAAATGTTAGAAAACATCTAATACAACCATTTCTACAGAACTAGGAAATAAATTTCTAAGAAAGAAAGATTTTACAGACCCCATCTTTTATACCCACCCCAACAGCCTAACTCTAAAGAGGATAAAGCCAATGACTTTTCTCACAAGAGCTCACGACTAATGTCGCTTTGCTATCAAAATCTGTATTTCTGATCTGTTTTTGTTTTTGTTTTTGTTTTTTGAGACAGAGTTTCGCTCTTGTTACCCAGGCTGGAGTGCAATGGCGCGATCTCGGCTCACCGCGACCTCCGCCTCCTGGGTTCAGGCAATTCTCCTGCCTCAGCCTCCCGAGTAGCTGGGATTACAGGCATGCACCACCACGCCCAGCTAATTTTTTGTAGTTTTAGTAGAGACGGGGTTTCACCATGTTGACCAGGATGGTCTCGATCTCTTGACC